CCCAGCCAGCATGGCTGGCTGGGGAATTCTGGGAGTTGAAGTCCACACAACTTCAAGTTGCCAAGCTTGAGCAACACCGCTCTAAAGGCATCATGCTTGCTTGCCAGAAGCAGACGCTGATGCCGCCAAGCCCCGCTAGCTTGCCCTAGTGAGTTTCTGGGCTCGCCCTGAGCTAAAACAAAGCGGGCACCCTGAAAGCGCCTTACTTGTTTTTCTGCTCCCGGGACAGCTGGGCGTTAAAATTATCTAACGCTCTCCGCAGGCCCCGATTCTCCCATTGCTGGTGACGTTCATAGAGCAATTCAGCTCTGGCCTCCTGCACCCGCTTTCGGTCCCATTCCGCGTTTCTCTGGCGTTCCTCCTTGTCCAACCTCTGCACGAAAATCAGAAGGTTCAGTTGGCTTTATGGCCCACGGCCAGCAAGGACGCCCATCTGCCCCCCTCCATCCTTCGGTGCTTGAATAAGTGGCTGATAGCTTTCAACGGACTGGCTGCTAATGTCTCTGGGTCTTCCCGAGGACCTTCTGGAATTGAAGGAGTCGGGGAAATTAAGCCTACCTGGAATCCTGATGTACAAAAATGGTAAGTTTAGGCTTGCTTTCTTTTTCCATCCGTTGAAACAGGGCCTCTGATCCTCCAGGTGTTGAACTACTACAACTTCCAACAGCCCCTGCCAACGTGGCCATGGTGAAGGAAGGTGAATGAATGAATGAATGAATGAATGAATGAATGAATGAATGAATGAATGAAAACAGGGCTGTCTGCAGGGGGTGGTCAAAAATGTCAGGATGGGTCACAACAGTGCAATCAAAGCCCCACCTGTGTTTTATGTGTGTGGCACACCTGATGCATCTGAAAAACAGGTGGAGCTTTGTTCGCACGGTTGCTGCCCCCATCTTGACTTTTCTGACCCCACCCTGGTTGTAATTCCAGAACAGTGTCTCTTTAAAGGGAATACCAGCTTCTCCAGCACTTGTTGCAGCTGAATATCACGGATTTCCTTCAGCTGATCCTGGCTCATCCCCTTCCACCGATCCGTGATGACGCGATTCGGCCCAAAGGAGCAGACAGCTTGCTGTGGGTTTTCGGTCAGCAGATCCCCCTGAAGCTGGTTCAAAATCTCCCTTTCTTTTGCTTCTTCTTCTTGCTGTTTTTCGAGTCTTCTCCTACGCTCGGATTCAGCAGCCTTAACAAAAAATAATAATGAGAAAAAATGTTGACAAAGTCAGCAATGGTTTGGTCCTCACCAGATGGCAAGCACTTAATCAAATTCAACAATTATGCTTTGTAGCTTTTTTTGGTGGGACATAAAGACTGGAGACATTTGGGCGGGCAGGACAGATTTGGAACTCTCAGCTCTTCCTAGGCCAAATGTTCTTATCAGTTCTGCCCTGGATTAGACATACTGTTTACTTAACCTTATTCTTTTCCCTGCCTGCAAAGTAGTGAAGTTTTGGCTGGTAGAACAAGCTAAAGTCAAGCCTCTGAGCTGAGCTCAACTCCTGCTGACTTCATTTCCCAGTCTAGCCTACAGACCTGGGCTTCTGAGCCAAGACTAAGCCAACAGGTCCCGCCAGCTTCTGAGTGGGCACCCGTGCCTGGTCCCTGTTGCAAACTGAACAGAAATCAGAGTCCCCCCACCAAGATCTGCCAACAATCGGCTTGACCTCACCCACTCGTTTATGCCAACTTAAAAAGAGACAGAAGAGAACGAAGGAAAAGTTTGGAGGTGGGGGTTAAGCACTTAAGAAGTCTTGCTTGTGACAAAACACACAATTCTATGTTCTTCAACTGTTTGACCCAATTAACCCCTTTTCCTGGTCTCGAATAATGTCATCCCGCCCACCCCCAAAACAGACTCTTACACAAGTGTCTCAGCAGTGGCAGCCCCAAACTGGATCCTCAATTCACAAACAACCAATTACAAATTACTCCATTACCCCCAGGATGTGCCCAAATTCCCCCCTTGGAGGTCATTGCCCTAGTTTAGGAACTCTGCTCTAAGTCTACTGTATGCCGGGCAAAGATGTTTTCCTCCAGAGCAGCGTTTCTCAACCTGAGCAACTTTTAGGATGTGTGGATTTCAACTCCCCAGAATTAGATGTGTGGGTTTCAACTCCCAGAATTCCCATGGCTGGCTGGGGAATTCTGGGAGTTGAAGTCCACACATCTTCAAGTTGCCGAGGTTGAGAAACACTGCCCTAAGCTGAAGACAAATAAATGGGAGGACATGAATTCCCATGAGTTTCAACCGAGGAATGAACCCATCGGAGGCCCCTGTCTAGGTGTGTGTCAAAGAAGTCAAGCGGGCAGCTATGACCACGTGATCAAAGCCACACCCCTTTGCTCCATGTTTTGCACGGACACATGTAAAAACCACATGGTCACGGGCACCATCTCGATCTTTTGGACCCTCCTGCAAATGTCCCTGCAAGGGGTGTCTGTCAGCCTCTTCTAGTTCACAAGGAAGAGAGAGGTGTTTGCTTCATTACACCCCATTATTTATGGGAGGAATTCCCCAAGCGGGGCCAGAATAAACGTGCTAATTTAATCACAATTTCAAAGCAGAAACAAATCAAATATCAGACATCGGTGATGGTCCTGTCTGGAACCATTACCAAAAATCTAAGTCAGTTTCTAGGCAAAAGTCCTTTGGAATAGAAATTTTTCCACAGCCGAGAAGATACAATCCCAAACATACATATTAAAAAGTGGTCACTTCCCAACAGTCCAGCCCTAAAAGTTCTCAAGTTTTATTCCAGGAACAAAAAACCAGACGGTTTCTAAGAAGGGAAAAAAATGGAAAAATGCAATATTTCTGTATTTGATAGCTTTGTTTTTTGAATGACTAGTTAAGAATTGGGGCGGTTCGGTCCTGGAACAGTTCTGAAAACATTTCGTAACTGAAGTCTGTTTCATCCAAAAAGAGATTTCTTCATCATAACTTAAATTATGAGCTGTGGCAAATCAAGTCTGCAATTTAGATATTTGTAATAAAACACTTTATTGGCAATAGTATACCAGAACATAGTCACTAAATTTTTCCTTCCCTGACATAAAAGAACACAGAAAGAAGGCAAACATGTCTGCTTTAACCACACACCTATCTTGGGTTCTTACAAGAAAGGTCCGACACGTCCATTTTTGTTAGTCTTGTCAATTAACACGAGGTATAATAAAGATTGAGAGCCAGTCTGGTGTGGTGGTTAAAGGCATCAGGCTAGAAACCGGGAGACAGCGAGTTCTAGCCCTGCCTTGGGCACAAAGCCAGCTGTGGGACCTTGGGCCAGTCACTCTCTCTTAGCCCTAGGAAGGAGGCAATGGCAAACCACTCCCAAAAAACCTTGCCAGGAAAACTACAGGGACCGACTTGTCCAGGCAGTCTCTGGGAATCAGACATGATTGAATGGAATAATAATAATAATAATAATAATAATAATAATAATAATAGTAGTAGTAGTAGTAGTAGAAGTAGTAGTAGTAGTAGTAGTAAGTCAATTGCAAAACGCAGCTTTACCTGGAACAGCTTACATCCTGGGACAACACCTCTAACTCCATCAACCAACATCTGCCTTTCCCCAGTTCTTGGGAAGGACTCAATGGGTGGATCAAAATGCCAGATCCAGTCTAAACATCTGGCCGACTATGCGACCAACCATAATAATAATAAAGATACTTTCCAAAATGAAAAGAATGATCTGTGAGCATGAGTTCACACATCGTGCTTAGACGTGGGTTCAACCACTGTGGAATAAACCCGAAAGGCCGAGTTCACACATAATGCTAACCCATGAGTGCTGGGTCACAACCACGGCAGCTGGATTCACACCGCAGCCGCAATTCCAGGGCATAAACTAGACTGGGAAGCTGGAAAACGGCACTGCAGCAGAAGGTTATGGCAAATTTCTTTCATCTTGCTGCCAAGATACTGGCATAGATGCGTCCATGGTTTGAACTCAACTTTAAACGAAATTAAATGCAGCTAACGTCACTCTCCACATTTTAAACCCTTCTCTCATTCAGACACATTAAAAGTTACAATTTGGAGGGCGCCCAAGACTTTTGGCGAGGGAATGCACCAAGCCAAACCCAAACAAATCTCACGATGTCGTCGCCCGCTGGGGAACTCAGCTTCGGATGCAATTTGCAAACCTGTCAGGAACTGCTTAGCGCTAATCGCGGTTAAGCCCCTTCCCAGCAAACCTGCCGCAAATGATGCACCAACCACAGCAAGGGTAGTTTATAATTTCCCCCTCCTTTTTGATCTCTGCAGCCACAGCATGAGATGTGCCTGCTCCAGCCCTTCAGAAGGATCTAGATCGGCGCCTCTCCAAAGGCCCCAACCCCCCCTATGATTCTTTTGTTATTTATTTGTTAGAACTAAACCCCACCTTTTCTGCAGCACTGTACGGCAACTCACTTCCTAGGAAGCTTCTGTGGTTGAGGGAGGATCAGCACCAGGGTCTCCCCAGCCCTCATCCAACATCTTAACCACAGTGGCAACTTACATACGACACCCCGCCCCCCCATTTTATCTTGTCAACAATCCTGCAAACTACATTAATCCGAGAGAGAGAGAGAGAGACTCGTGCCCAAAGTCATCCAGTGAGTTTTCATGGCTGAGGATGACCTAGGAGCTCCCCAGCTCCATTCTACCATCTTCACCACCAGCATTACCCCAGCCTGCTTTTTTCCAAAGGAGAAGGAGAATTATTATTTAGAGTGCTATTGAACCATATGTGAGATGATATGCTGGAGCATGGTTGGAAGACTATCCTTCATAACAAGCCATTGCTATATATTCTGGTTTAGACTCCCTTCCTTAACTGCAAGTTCTCCTACGGTCTGGGTTCAGATGGTTTCTCCGTAAGGTAGATGTGATTTTTTTTACCCCCATTCTCCACAGATGTTCCTCCCCTCCCCACAACATCATCAAGGGCCTAAAAATGCCCTTTGACACCGAAACCAATCCCATTAGCACTACTCAGGCCTGCCCACCCCATCCCTTCTTTAATCAAGCTTGAAATCTAGCTTAGTAGAGGAGTCCTTAGGAAGCAATTATTTGGGGAAACCAAATCTTGCTCTTCTGCTTCTAGTTAACCACCCTGCCACAGAGATATACAATTAGCTGGTTTTATTCAAGGTTCAAAATTATGTACCTTCTTGCCAACTCTGCTTCTACTACTGAAGCGCTAATAAGAACAATAATTAGCCCACTCAGTTTCACTGAAACAATACAGAACTCAGTCTCCCAGAATGGTTGGTAAGAAGCTCCTGGAAAATTAACCCACAGAACAAATCTTTTGCCTTGCACTCCTAATCCGCTGCTGTTACAGATGGAGATTATACCTAGTTATCACAGCTACTAACCAGTGATCAGCTTCATCGCTCCAGGCCACAAATTAGTGATGTCATCACACACATGACTCAAAGTATAATTTATATTGACATCCTGATCTGGGTGACATCCCTTGTCCTCTCGGTGGTGGATTCACACCTCCCGCCAAACCATGAACCCAACTGCAAGGGTTAGGTTCAGACATTACACCAAGCCAGAACAAGCAAGGATTATGACTTCAGTTCCACGAGTGACTCTCAATCCTCTGTTTGGAGGTGTCTAAAATATGCAGAGACACAACAGAGTCCAGCTTCCTTCCTGCATTTAGGAGAAGGGGGCTCGGTCTTAATCGGAAAGGAGCACCTATTGTGATTATTATTGACATTATAGCGTCACGATAATCACATAAGAACAGAATTAGATTCCTGAGCATCGCTTTGCAGCTACAGTGACAACATGCACCTCATTATGTAATTTGTGTCCTTTGCTTAGTGATGTCATGCTCCCGTAGACCCTCCCATGACTTGCCAAATTCACCCAGTGAAAGAAGAGAGGCATTTCATTTTCTTGGTCTCAGCCAACTCAGTATCCACACAGACTCCTGAGCAGATGCAGTGATAACTGACAACAGTAAATCGTCAGACTTACTTTTAAACTGAAGTGTAAATAAAAATGTAAATAAAAATGTGTAAAGACGCTGGAGTGTAAATATCCGTAATAACTTATTTTGGCTGATATAAGAATAAATATCCTAAACTACTGAGAACACTAAAAAACTACTTTGAACACCATCATTACTGGAAATTTGCTTTAATAATTACTATATGTGGTACTCTTAGAAAGTACTATATATAATTAATAATAGTCCATTTTGCTTTACCAGGGCTTTATTGAATTCTGTAGTAGTGATACAAATTGCTCGCCTGGTTTCCTCATCTGTTCTTTGGAGATCCATGGCCTTTTGATCAAGCGCCATTCTGTGTTGGTCATAGAGATCACCTACATATCAAAACAAATCAGTCATGTGTAAAAATGCCATATCACTGCCCCAAATATCACTAATATCATAATCACTGCCCACAAAATCTTTGGTCTTCTGCCCAAGTTCTCAGACTCAGCTTCTGGCCCTCCTCAATTCTCCAAGGGTTTGATCCATTTACCAAAGAGACAGATTCTAAGTTTTTAGTTCTCACAGTTTTCTATGAAGGCCAATAGAGAAGATGGTGGTTAATACCTAATATTTTTTGTTTTATTTGAATTTGAGCTTGACACAAGGATGTTATGTCCACGATTTTGGCCATTGACCATGGCTATTTTTGTTTTCAGGTGGGTATTGATGATTTTATATGTTTGTATATTGGTTTTTAACTTGTTTTTATTGGATTGTTTTTAACTGTGGTGAGCCAGCCAGGGTCACTAAGGTGAGATGGGTGGCCATACAAGTCAAGTCAAGTCAAGTCAAGTCAATAAATTTAATATATCCTTGCCTGGCAAATATGGAAGATGGGGTCTTCCTTCTACCAATTTCAGCAACCCAACAGATGTATAGTGGAAGAACAGCTTCTTATATAGTCAGGCGCTGAGTCATTAAGGATTTTAAAGTCAGTACCAACACATTACTCTGGGCCTGCAAAGCAGCCAGTGCCAATTTTTCAAAGGGATCATATAATTGGCATTGGTGTTTCTCAGCCTTGGGAACTTTCTGGCTGGGGAATTCTGGGAGTTGAAGTCCATACATCTTCAAGTTGCTAAGGCTGAGAAACCCTGATCTACATAATTGTGCATACCCTTGCATGAGTGAACAACTGAGGCCTGGCATTTTGTACCAGCTGTACTTTCTTCAACATGTTCCCGGTGGCAGCTGTCAAAAACTAACTCTCTATTCCGGATTCAGTCATTACCTGCACATTTTTTGTCTGTCAGCGCATTCTGCTTCTCCTTTCCTTGCTGAAAAAGCCATTCTCTTGTTTGCTCTTGCTGGAACCTCCACCTGTTCTTGCTGTTTAAATCTTCTCCCATGAACTTCTGCAAGCTGGATATGGTGCAGCGAGGGTCACTGTCAGCAAGGCGAGCAGCGCTGTCTTTCTGCGGCCCTTGTGGGTCAGACAGGTCAAATTCCCGCCGTGTTTCTGGCTTCTGATAAGTTTGACGAAATTCGTTGATAGCTTTGTTGAGAATCTGAGTATCTTTTTTCTGTCGTTGATCTAACATACAGAGGATCTTATCGTTTTGTTTCATTTCTGCAGCTATTTTGAGAGGGGAAAAAAAAGAGGATCTGATTCTAATCCTTAAAGAAATATGTTTTTGTGAAGTTAAATTGCGCTACAGGTTAGTTGCTCTGATCCAAATAAGATTAGCGCTGTGTTTGACCTATTCAAGTTATACATTCGTGCACTTCATCTCTATGGGACAAAATTCGTAGTTATTTGGAAAATATGCCTTTAAAAAAAGATGGCACAAGGGCTCTTCCTTAGAGGGACAATCAGTGTCAATAAACATTCCCCATATCTCACAATGGCCTGTGATTGCAGCTCCATTAAGCACAGAAAAGCTAATGATTCAGCCATCTACATTCCTGTCTTGTAGCTTTAGGTTAGTTTGTGCTGAGGAAAAAAGAAAACTAAAACTGAGCTGAGCTGAGTACAAAGAGCCCTTGAAGCAGTGTTTCTCAACCTCAGCA